AAAAAAACCCCCTGAAAAAAAATCATTCAAACCTGAAAAAGAAAAAGTAATATTAAATTAAAAAGGTAAAAATAAAACGAAAATTAGGATTAATTTTATCATCAAATGCAATTAAATTATTTTAATTTTAATTATTATACAAAAAACAGTTTGCGCAGTTTAACGGGGAGAATCAAGTGAAAGACTTCTTTTAGATAGTTAAAGTAAAGAAAATTATAAAATAAATTATAAATAATCAGGTATTAGGAATTATTTTATAACCGTTGTGAAAAAATAAAATAAATTCGTTGAAAATTTCTTTTCCTAACCATTTATAAGGTTCAAAAAACCTGAGGTTTAACCTCAGATTAAAGTGGATTTTTGCCGGATTTTCTTAATTTCCTCCTTCTAGGATCTAACCATTATGAACAACAAAACAGGTTTTAAATAAATCATTAAGTGGTCATATGGCAGTCACAAGTCCATATTTATCCATTCTAAATAAATACTCATAAATTTGATTTTTCTTTAAGAATGTTGATTACATCGTATGAGTCCTGTATATTTGAATGAAAACATTTTTTCTTTTTCAATATAAATAAAACTTTCTTTCTATACTTCTACCTATATATTTATTATAATGTCGAATGGAAAAGCTGGTATATATGCATAAAAAAAAACTTTTTATATTCAATGAATACAGAAATTCGCAAATTTAAAAAATTTTCTTGTTAAATTTAGTTGGAATCGATTTGGGTTCGACATATTCTTGCGTTGGAGTTTGGATAAACGATCGAATTGAAATTATTACTAATGATCAGGGTCATCGTACGACGCCTTCGTATGTCGCTTTCACCGAATCAGAACGTCTTATCGGTGATGCCGCAAAAAATCAAGTTAATATGAACCCTTATAATACCGTATTTAATGTTAAACGTCTCATTGGTCGTAATTTTAGCGACGAAGTTATTCAATCCGATATTAAGGTAAAAATTATATCATCGATGATACGAATTTGATCTGCATTTTTAATGCATTTATAATTCTTATCTTTTTTATTAGCATTGGCCATTTAAAATCATCGAAAAGAATGGAAAGCCTCATATCCAAGTCAGTTTCAAAGGCGAAAAGAAAGATTTCACACCCGAAGAAATTTCTTCTATGATCTTGGTAAAGTTAAAGGAAACTGCAGAAGCTTACCTTGGTACAAAAGTTAATAATGCCGTAATTACTTCACCAGCTTACTTTAATGACTCTCAACGTCAAGCAATAAAAGATGCCGGTGAAATCGCTGGTTTGAATGTTTTACGCATAATTAATGAAGCAACCGCGGCGTCTATTGCTTATGGTTTGAATACAAGAGCTTGTGGTGAAAGAAACGTTCTAATCTATGATTTGGGTGGTGGTTCTTTTGATGTTTCACTCCTAACTATAGAAGAAGGAATTTTTGAAGTAAAAGCAGTTGCTGGTGACACACATCTTGGTGGTGAAGATTTCGACAATCGACTTGTAAATCATTTCGTACAAGAATTCAATCGAAAATTTAAGAAAGATCTTACAACCAATGCACGTGCTTTCCGTCGATTAAGAACAGCTTGTGAACGTGCAAAGCGTGAACTTTCATCATCATTAAAAGCTTCCATAGAAATAGATTCCCTTTACGAGGGTATCGATTTTTATACCTCCTTAACACGTGCAAAATTTGAAGAATTGAATCAAGACTTGTTTCAATCTACAATGGA